TCCAAATCGAACACCCAAGGGTTAATTAACCACCTTAGGCCCAGTTTCAGAATCTGTGGTAACCAGCGCTGGTCAGTCAACTAGGGGTTAGGAGTTAACTGGGACTTCGCTCATTAACCTGTTTCACACTAAACAAACAATCGTTGGTTGAATAACTAATGGTTGAATTTTATTTCTCAAAGGTTGGTACTTGATTTTTTGACAAAATTTTAAAAACCACGTTGAAAAATAAAAAAAGGCCCCTTTAAACTTCACTATAACGTCACTTTTTGTGATTTATCATTAATAATTATATTAATTTTTGTCAGTGGTAGTAAAAGTAAAATTTCACAGATACCTATTCAATTCAATATTGGGTTTTGTGTCGTGTTTCCTGTTCAAATTTAAATCATGAAGTCAAGTGAGAAAAGGTCTGCGAATTTTTCAAAGGAAGAAGAGTATTTATTAGTGTGTCTCGTGCAAAAATATAAGTTCATTATAGAATGTAAAAAAAGCGGCTCATCGACGTGGAAAAACAGAAGAAAATGCTTGGAGAAGAGTGGGAGCAGATTTTAATTCCAATTGTATCACTAACGGAAAAAAAATGCAAAAGTTTTCATTCAATAATTTTACCTTTTTAAACTTGATACTTTTGAACTGCCCTAAAAAACAAAGCATTTCAGCTAACTCATAGTTAACTCATACACATTCTTGGGTTAATTCAACTACTGGTTAACTAAAGGTGTCACATTGATCCGTCAATTGTGAAATGCTGTTTTCGTTTTAACTAGTAGTTATCTCATAACTAGTAGTTTACTACACTTTAGGCATTTTTTAGCGAGATCCCAGTAATAACCATTTATAACCGGTGCGGTTATACACGGTAACACTCCCACTTCAAAAATATATCCCTACCATTGGCAAATTTTTAGGATTAAACCGCTTCTCGCTAAAACAGAACGGTTATACATATTTCTCAGTAAAGTGAGTTTAGTTTATATTTTGTGGTAAACATAAAGGAAATGAAGTCAATAATTAAGTCCTTATTACTAATTGACGATATTATGTTTGAAAACACCCGCCTGTATATTCTAATTTCTAAGTCTTATCGAGTCAAGTATAGTGGTGTCCCTTGAAATGTATACGTATTGGGAGAAAATCATGAGAGACAGCTTATAGACCATAATGCGTGATCTGCTATTTTTTGATATCCTCTAATAACAAAAATAACTCGGAAAAAAACACATCAAAACAATCACAAATTAATCTAAGGTTAGAATTCTTCAGTTACTCAACTCTCGACTTGGGTATCAAAAACAATAACCGTGTTATAGAATGATGACGTCACTTTATGACAGGAAAACACCTTCCCCTATTACCGTTTTCTCGCAAAAACGGATCGGTTATTGATTTCCTGTAACCGCTTGTAACACGGGAACTAACGGGAACTCGCTAAAAAATGCCTTTTGTGAAACTGGGCCTTAGAATTATAGTGTACAAGCCTTGTGAGATTACTTTGGAATTCCAGATTCTGTAGTGCAGAAGCTCCTCATTTTCATATCAGAACGACGAGAGGTTCAAAAATGAATTAAACTTAGATAACTCATGAAATGTACTTTTTACTCTTTAGTTCAAAATTTAATTAATCCTCAGGTCTGAATTTTTCTTATCAATGAGTGAATTATTCAGAATTTCCACTCATTAAGTAATTGAAAAACTCTCTAATTTTCAGGTCAGCACATTTTTACAGTTTTTTCATGCAACTTTGATTTGGAACTTCAAATGAGCTTCAAATTAACTTTTCCATAATGAAAAAGAAAGATCCATTATTCCCAGTGATGTAAAATGGCGGTCATTTAAAATCGTGACGGTCATTTGCGTCATGACGGTCATGACTATGGTCATAGTTCATAATAGTTAATTCAATTTAAAACGCCACTACCTAGTCTATCGTCTATTAACTGACAAATGGTTTTAATATAAGGATAGTCAATTATTGATTAAGTATAAAGTTTTGACAAATTATTAAGTAAGGATTCCAGAACAAAAGAAATTTCCACAAATTACAAAATAAGTGAATAAAAGTTATCTTAGCCTAGCAGGTAAAATAAAATAACAAAAATAATAGTTATTCACCTAACAAATGCAGAAGTGATATTTTACCGCACGCAGCAGCAGTTAAGTGCGGTAAAGGCATTTTCCGCATGTGTAAGATTATACCTATGAGCATCTATATATCCCAAAGAAGGCATTATTGAAATTTCTGAACGAGAAGGGATTTTTGAGTGTACTTAAACACCAAATCTACTTTACCGCATATTATGCAGTCTACTTTACTGCATATTTCCACACTATGCGGTAAAATGGTCATGACCAACGGTCACATTGAATGTGACGTGACCGTCATGACCCGCCGTCATGCGCGCTGGTCATGACCCACTAACATCACTGATTATTCCTGAAAGTTTCAAGTCTCTGTGATCATTAGAAGTATTTTGCATAAGTGATTTTTACAGATTTTAATCATTTTTACATGCATTAACGTGAGAAAAAGCTTTTAAATTAGTTTTGGAGTTTCAAATCAATTTCAAATTAACTTTTTCACAAAGAGGAAACTCCAATTCATAAATCCTGGAAGTTTCAAATTACTGTAATTATTGGAAGTACTTTGCACAAGTTATTTTTGCAAATTTTAATCATTTTTACATTCAATAACGTAAGAAAAAGCTTTGATGTAGTAGAATTAATACATTGCATGCCATGTGTATTGGGGAAATGTCCCACGAGGTTTTGCAAATTTTTCTCTTAATTGTTATTAAAAAGTCGCTGAAAAATGATAGATTATACAGGGTGATTTTTGTAGCCTGTGCATTAGCTTGCAGGTGGATTAGATGATATTTTTACTAATCCATCTACAGACTGGACAAATTTTAATACACACACAGGCTATGTAAATCACGGTGTATTGTTTATATTACTTTTTTGTTTCTTTGTTTTTAGCTTTCCCTACAATTTTGTCTATGTCATTCATATATGACTGACGTCGCCCCCCAGGTTATTTTCATGGATTTGGGCATAAGGGGGGGCCACATCAGTCAAATATGCCCGAAGATTTTATCCTATTGTTTTTATGTATCTATCTATCTGTTGATTGGCATATGAATGTTTTATATTACTTTTTTAGAATTTTGTATACCTATATTTTTTTGCTTATAACTAAGAAATTAATATTTTTCTTTGCATAATACTAAAATTATTATGCCTCCCTCATCTCTCAACCCTACAAGAAGACGGTGTTCTTAGAGCAAAAAAACAATATTATTTTTATCATTATTCAATTCACAAGATTAACATTGACGTCTTTGGAAAAGATGGGTATAATACAATGTTTGATTTAAAACCCTCAAAAAAATAGTAAATAGCCAAATTTGCCCAAACCAAGTATACCGATATGTTCAGCACAGGCCATTCTTTAAAATCCCATAAGGGAATATACAGGGTGGGGACTTTAACTGGAACTAATTCGCTAGAGCCTTCGAATAAAATATGTGGACAAAACGCAAAAACACGTCGATCAAGATTTTTTGCTTGAGTTTTTTTCACATTTTTTTTATACAGGGTGTTCCAAGAACAGCTGTACGGTTGTCAACTTTATTTTTCCAAATGATAGCCCCTGTATATTATGACATTTCTGGATTCTGCAGAAAATTCTAGACATATTTCATTCACAATGTCATATACCTATCTTCAACTGTTTCGGAAATATTGACAGTTGAAAATGGACTTTTTTGCAACTTTGACAGGCTGTAAAACCTTTACGGTTAATTTTAGAGGAAAACCGATTTCACATTCCTATCTTAGATTTTCATAAGCTATCATTTGACACCAACTTTGAATTTAATCCATGATTAAAAATTCCAGTTAAATTCAATCTCCAGTTAAATTCAAAGTTAGTGTCAAATGATAGTTTATGAAAATCTAAGATAGGAATGTAAAACTGGTTTTCCTCTAAAATTAACCGTTTAGGTTTTACAGCCTGTCAAAGTTGCAAAAAAGTCAATTTTCAACTGTCAATATTTCCGAAACAGTTGAAGATAGGTATATAACATTGTACATGAAATATGTCTAGAATTTTCAGCAGAATCCAGAAATGTCATAATATACGGGGGTACCATTTGGAAAAATAAAGTTGATAACCGTACAGCTGTTCTTGGAACACCCTGTATAAGAAAATTATATAATTATATGGAAAAATTTTAAAAAAAAAATCTTGATCGACGTGTTTTTGCGTTTTGTCCACATATTTTATCCGAAGGCTCTATCGAATTAGTTCCAGTTAAAGTCCCCACCCTGTATGTATCGTCAGACAGGTATGATTGACACGACCTGGTATGCTAAAGTGTGCGTCAAGCATATACAGGGTGACAATTTGAAAAGTAGCAATCGGGAATGTCTCTTAGACAAAAAATACAACTCTAACATTATCAGTTACATTTGAAAATTTCGATAAGAAAAAAAATTCAAAAAGGAAAACTAATTTTGGGCTCTGGACATTTTTTCGAATCTTGACATGCTTGACATGAATAATTGCTCATATCTTCAATGATATTTGAGAAAATTGCTCCCCATCATGCATCATGTAAAAGAGTATTAATTTCTCTATAAGCCCTGCAAAATTGGTTTTTGTAACTTGTGAAGTTTCTGGGATATTGGACTTCAAAGTTGAAATTTGGTCGACATTTTGTCTAAAACTAACCCAAACTCGATTTTCTTGAAAACCCCTAAACGCAAAATCCTACAAAACCGTACAAAAACACAAAAACTATCACAAAAACCCAATAGAAATTTACAAAAATCCAAGTTTTTGCCAACCCTGAATCTCCCCAAATTTCCCCACTCTGCAAGCTTCTACAATTGATTGGAATTATATTTAATACGTCATCGTTGTTTTTTCTTTTTTCTAGCTTTGAAGTGCATGTAGAAAACTCATTTAACCTCATAGATCTTTCATTTTTTTCCAGGAATGGACAACATTCAAGCCCCTCCTATGCCATCCGTGCATCAAACGCCTGAACATAGCCTACAGTTTCAAAAAACAATGCATCCAATCTGCAGGTGTACTAAAAAACTACGTCGAACTGGTCAAGGAATCTCAAAAAAAGACCGAATCTCAAGAAACCAAATCGGACCCTGTGAACCAACCTGGCACCTATATGCTCCTGCCCAACCACAAATACGTAAAAATTCTGGTAGGATCCCAAAACCAAGGAACCACAGGTAACGCAAATACATTTCAAAACGTATTTTTAAACATCATACCGACAACAACAATCACTCCCACTCCTGCTGCAACTACCAATGGCGAAGCTGCTAGCGGACAGAAAAACAAGGACACCAATCAAAATGTATTTTTGAATCTTAATAATACGTTTCAAAAATTTATTCCAATAACCTCAGTGGATCCACCCCCTTTAGCGAAACCCGAAAAAAATTCCCTGCCTAAATCTGACCCAAATACAAACCTCAATGAATCTGAGGCAGAAGAAATGAGTGTTGAAATTGATCCTACTTCTTTTTTGTCTTTGGAACATGATGACCAAGAATCCAGCAACGAAGAATCAAAAGATTGGGACGAAGTCATAACAAAACAAGGAGTTAATAAAATCAATGGAACAACAATTGCGACAAATGGTAAAAGTAATGCAGCACCAACTTTTGTTCCTATTCTACCAAAGGATGATTTATATGCGGGCGGTCACTTTTTATCAACAAGCTCGCAATCTGAAATCAGTTGCGAGTCTTGCCAAAAATCATTTCCTTCTATAAGACTCCTCAAACAGCACATAAAGCAATTCCATTCAGGAAAACTACCATTCAAGTGCGACTTTTGCGGCATGGAATATTTAACCAGAGGCGAATTCATGTGTTGCCTAAACAGGCACAAACAAGACGCAAACGACACTTCACTTACCCTCAAAGACTTCACCGGAAACCCTTCTATGGATAACGACACTTTAAGTATTTCCCTTATAACAGGCACCCCGGCAGATTTAAATTTAGAACCAAATGAAAACGGTGTTTATGTTTGCAAAGTTTGTCAGCGAATTTTCAATAGTTCCTCTAGCTTGTTGAGGCACAGAGTGCGCAAACACAATCAGACAAATCGAAAAAAATACTTTATAAAAGGCATGAAAAATGCTAAATGTGATATTTGCAAACGTGCTTTCTCCACCCAATCTTATATGCAGTTGCACAGGAAGCTGCATTTGCGAGAAGATGGTTCGTTTAAGTATAAGGTGCAAGGTAGGAGTAAGTATAAGGATTTAGTTGATGAGGAGGATGATAAAACTCAAAAAGTTGATAAAGATGTGGCTTCTGAAAGCGCAACTGCTTCGCAGCAAGAGAGCGATACTGAAAGTGAAAATGAAGATCAACCAGCCAAAAAACCAAAATTAGTAGTAGAAGATGGTTCTGCGAGTGATTCGCAAAATAAATCCGATGGCAATAGCAGCGAAACTAAAAAAGAATCGGATTCTAGCGGTGCAGAATCATCTGATTCTAATTCCGAACAAGATAAGAATAATTAGTATGTAGGAAGCTTTTTTATATTTAAATAGTAGTAACAGTTTATACAATCTTTTTTTTAGTATTTTTAGATTTTAGCAGCAGTGCTAATAATTATTCTAGTGGGTAAGAATGAAGACTTAGTTTGTATGAGATGATATATGATATTGTACCTATACAAGTGGGTTTTTTGGATCAAAAGTTTTAAATAATTTTGGGTGTTTTATTGTAGTTTGCTTGGAAGGATTTTAATATATTGATTTTAATGAAAAAAACATCCTAGTACTAAGAATTATTTTAGTTGCAAACTATCAGAAACAATCACTCAGCTAAGTTACCATGTTATTTTGAAAAGACGGCATTGGAAACATGTATGGGCGATGCTTTCTGACATGTTGCAAACTTTTGTGAAAACAGACCTTTCACATACATATTTGTTTTTCGTTATACCAAAAATCCCCCCAGGCATGAAACAATAAAATCATGAAATTTATTTAAGTATTTTTGATCAGCCTCATACAAATTTCTAAAAAAAAAATAAGGGTATTTAAATGAAAAATATATTTACATAATTATTATAATGATATAGAGCCATAAGTATATTATTATGTATAGTGATAAATCACCGAGCTTTTTTTATTATAAAATTTAGAACAGGTTAATTTACATTTGAGGCAAATTCTCTATTTCACATGATGGCAATAATATTATTTTAACTTATTGGAGGAAGATTATTTTGTATTAAAACCTTTTTCCATAGAGAATTTGCCTTAAAAATCTTCATTTTTCTGACTGATAGTTTTAGCACTTGACATCTTTTATTTCTGAACTGATTATTATTATTATACACTCATCAATTATTTTCAGCCTTGTTTTAAAGTATTCTAGGGTTTAAAAAACCCAAAAACTTTTTATTAAGAATTTTTTTTGTATGCAATCATTATTATTTAAGATATTTACTTTTCATAATTTTAATATGTACATTTGTTAATTTAAGGATTTCGCTTACCTTTTCTCGGATATAAATTTTTATGTCAAGAAGCATGTTGGCTGTTTTGGTGTACATTTCTTTTTTCGATAATAATATGTTGACAATACAATTTGTTGCGTAATCTGATACATTTCCAAAGTGTTGAAAAGCAAAATTTGATATTTTTGTTTGTAGTAATTCTAATTTGCTATACCCTATTGTATTTTAATTTTATAGTTATATAATGTTTATTTAGTTCTTTACAAGATTACTTTAAAATTGACTGATGCAGGAAAGAAATCTTTAGAAGAATAATGCATGCTTTTTTATATTATATTCTCAGATATTATATTACATATTCCTTACCACCCATTGAGGCATATTCCTGGCCATTCTCAGTCTAGTGGAAGGGTTAGAAATGACCATCGGTTTCCACTTGCTGTCGTTTTTGTTCTGAAAACAATTTAATTATAGCTTATTTTGTCATGACTCTTTTTTTTAATTTAATTTATATATCATATCACTGTATTTTGTATTGTACCCACAATAAAATATTTTTCGACATTTTCTTATTGTGTTGAAACCCTAAGAGAAAGTCATTGTATGCACCTTTCAACTGGGTAGATGTAAAGGAAACAATTTTAAAGTATGTTATTGGATGTTGTTTTCAGCTGCAAACTCCACATGAAACATTTTTTTCTAGAAACTTTTTTTGGGGCACTGGAAATCTAGGAAAAAGCAGTTGATTATTACTTAGTACAATTTAATTTATTTTGTCTAAGATTATTGACCCACATTCAAATGGAATGTTTTTGTATATCAAAAAAGCAACTGTAGTTTAGACTGTACATATAATTAAAGTTCCTGTTGTCAGTTGCATCTAAAAATAATCCAGTTATTTTTGCATCATGTTTAATCATACTTTAATTTGTAGCATACATTGCATGGAATTCAATAAAATGTAGATTTTTATAACCGACATACATGAAACTATCTTCAAGTGTTTGCCAATAAGAGTCGTTTGAAATTTCAAAATATTCAATAAAATCCTCAAAAGAATCTAGATACAGTAGTAGGTCAGTAAATGATTAAATTTTCACCCAGCTTTGCTTTATTTTAAAATCACTCAGTTTATGTTTAATTTTTTAAGGATATACTGATAGTTTCTTTCATTAATCCAATTAGCAGGCAAATTTTAACGAGGAAATGCAAGATTTAATGCTAAAAATAATTTTGCTATTTTTAATCCTCCTTTTCCTAGTGTTATTTTTATATTCGATAAAATAAAACGTGTTGCAATAAATCTTGAAAATCATCATGCCTAAAATTATTAAGCATTTATATTATGTATGAAAAATTATATTGGATTTACCTTTCTTCGTCCTTCTAATCTTTTAACTTTTTAGAATATTTCTCTCTGATATTGAACATTTGTTGAACATTTTTGATAGTCTTACCAGTATTGCCAATGACCTGATAATTATCGAATTCTACCATAATTTTGACTACGATTCAATAATCGATAATGACAAGCTAATCTACCATAATTTATTGAAACTACAATTTTAATATAGATTTTTTCTACTTGCGTGCGCAAAGTAATCACTTTGCGCACGCATTACTTTGCGCACGGAAACTCTTTGCGCACTCATTTTTGTTACGCATAATTACCATAGTTATACTTGGTTTTTCAATGTTTTGATGGTTTCTGAATAAACTAATATTTAAAATGAAGGGTTTTAGTTGAAATTAACGCTTAGTTAACATGATGTTTCCTATCAAAGGTGTCCAAATTGGACCAGCCTGTACTGCTCGGAATTTGTAAAATTTTTGATATTTAAGAGATTCTCATGAAAATATTCTTGCTGATTCTAGAAATTCAAGAAGATGTGAAAAGATATTTGGGGATTTAATTTAAAAGACATTCTAAGGAATTCCAATAGATTTTAAACGATTTTTGAAGATTTCGATTTGATTGATTTTTCTAATATTTTAACAATTCAAAGTCTACTTTTTTAAGATACTTGTAGAAAAAATATTGTTCCTAACACTTGCGCAAAGTGTCTTTCCTGCACTTGTTAGGAAAATAACTATTTCAAATTTCTAGTTAAAAATTAATCGCTGTGTGCAACATCCTCTTTAAACTTAAAAGCGCTTTTTAAAACTGGTACCTTTAAAAATTTGTATGGCTTAGAATACAGAATCTTAAAAGTGACCAGTTTTAAAAAGCGCTTTTAAGTTAAAAGAGGATGTTGCATACAGCTGTAAAAATTTATTAAAAAATTGAAGGTGGTTGTTGGTTTTGGGTGTTTTGACGTACTGGTGCGAGCACCAAACACTAGTCCCAGATTGAGCCAAAGTTTCATGCCAATAACTTCACTGATTTCCAAAATATGGCCCTTTGAAATATTTGAAAATCAAATTCCCATGCATAACCCTTTGGAAAAATTCGAATTTTTAGATTTTGCAATGTTTGACCTTACCAATCAAAAGAGGAGAACAAAATTAGTGGAAAAGCATTTTTGCAACTTTGCTTTTAGAGTTTTAAAGCCCTGTAAAAATATAAAAACGATTTTTGCAATTTTTGGGCTCAAAAAAGTTCAATAATCTGACATTCTTTCACAAAATGGCTGATTACTCGGTTATTATTGTAACAAATGCAATGTAAAATTATATATTCTGACTCAGAATTAAATTATCTTCAAGATAAAATAAGATTCAATTCTATATCTCAAATACTTCTGAAGATATTGAGGCTTAAAGTTGAAACTTTATCTCAAATTTTGCAAAAGCTTTCAGGTGGATTATCTTGAAAACGAAGCCCTTGGGCTCGGAGTCTTAGAAAACCTTTTTTGTAGCCCTTATTAAGAGCTACAATTGGGCAAAAGATTCATGCCAATAGCTTCACTGGTTTCCAAAATATGGCCCTTTGAATTATTTGAAAATCAAATTTCCATGTTTCCCTTTGGAAAAATTCGAATTTTTAAATTTTATGGATTTTGCAATTTTTGACTTCACCAATCGAAAGAAGAGGTTAAAATTAGTAGAAAAGCATTTTCGCAACTTTTTTTTTTGGGTTTTAAAGCCTTGTTAAAAAATAAAAACGATTTTTGCAATTTTTGGGCTCAAAAAAATTTCAATAATCTGACATTCGCTCACAAAATTGCTGATTACTCGGTTATTATTAAAACAAATATGATGTAAAATTATAGATTCTGAATCAGAATTAAATTGTCTTCAAGATAAAATGAGATTCAATTCTATATCCTAAATACTTGTGAAGATATTGAGGCTCAAAGTTGAAACTTTACCTCAAATTTTGCAAAAGCTTCCAGGCGGATTATCTTGAAAATGAAGCCCTTGGGCTCGGAGTCTTAAATAACCTTTTTTGTATCCCTTATTAAGAGCTACAATTGGGCAAAAGATTCATGCCAATAACTTCACTGGTTTCCATAATATGGCCCTTTGAAATATTTGGAAATCAAATTTCCATGCATATCCCCCTTTGGAAAAGTTCGAATTTTTAAATTTTCAATTTTTCGAATTTTTGACTTCACCAATCAAAAGAAGAGGTTAAAATTAGTAGAAAAGCATTTTCGCAACTTTCTTTTTTGGGTTTTAAAGCCTTGTTAAAAAATAAAAACGATTTTTGCAATTTTTGGGCTCAAAAAAATTTCAATAATCTGACATTCGCTCACAAAATTGCTGATTACTCGGTTATTATTAAAACAAATATGATGTAAAATTATATATTCTGAATCAGAATTAAATAATCTTCAAGATAAAATAAGATTCAATTCTATATCTTGAATACTTTTGAAGATATTGAGGCTCAAAGTTAAAACTTTGTCTCAAATTTTGCAAAAGCTTCAAAGCCGTTTATCTTGAAAATGAAGCCCTTGGGCTCGAAGTCTTGAATAACCTTTTTTGAAGCTTTTATTGAGAGCTACAATTGCCAGAGTCCCAGCTAGAACCCAAAAAATGAAAATAGAGATAAAAAGTCAAAAAAGTTGACAGAAACTTTTTCTGATACACACACCTCTTACGGGTTTTTGGTTTTCTGTCAAACTCAATGAAATTTTGATATGTGTTAGACCTTGACTTCCTGATAAAAAGTTCTCATTGGCCCGAACCAATCCTATGATTAGTTTTTGAGATACAGGTACTTTTATGTCCAAGAAATGTATACATTTTATATGTATTCACAATCTACCTGTCACCTAATAATAGGTTTGTTTCTGCAAAAATCACAAACTTGTCAGAGCGAATTTGATTGGTCGAAAACAGTCAGAAAACTAGTTACAACCAATGAAATTCACTCTGACAGACCTAATAATTGGTGACAGGTGCATGCATATAAAATGTGTACATTTCTTGAACATTAAACCACCTGTATTTCGGAAACTAATCATAGTATCGGGTTGGGCCCATGAGAACTTTTTATCAGTAAGTCAAGATATACCACATATCAAAATTTCATTGAGTTTGACAGAAAACCAAAAACCCATAAGATTTGTGCGGGGTCCTTTGACATCTGACAACACTGAGTCTTACTAAGTCCTACAAACTTTCATTAATTTCCCAATTTACTCCTGACTTTCAGTTTTTCTTTGTTTGGATTTCCAAATTTGTAGTATTTTTTTGTCTTTTTGATGTTTCAGTTTCTAAGAATATTTCTATCTTCATTTCTAACCTCTTTCACACCATGTAAAAAGTTGAAACATGAATTTTTTTAGAGAATTCATTGATTCATTAGAGGTTCTAGTTGGATTTTTTTGAAAGAATTTTTCAATCAAAATACAGGTTTCTTTTTTGGAAATAATTTTGCTACTATGTACTCTATAAAACCCCTTGTAGATTGGAGCTAAAAAATTTTTAAAAAAATTTCAAATAGAGCCTCTGGAAGACAATAAATTGCTCTATAAATTCTCTAAATTTGGCCTCTATAAGTTTAAGCTAGCTAAGATTGAGCATTTTTTAATGTCAATTTAAGAAAATTTCCAATTTTTATTTACACACCTTGTACAAAGTTGAATCATGGGAATTTTTTAGAGGATTTATTGATTAATTTCCTAAACTACTGTTTAAGTTTTGGCTCATTTTTGAACCCCCAGAGAAGCTACCTAGCGTTGCATGTTATTGTTACGTTACATAGCAACAGCAACATGCATGAAAGGAACTTACCCTACTCGGCGTAAAGATGTTTGACTTCAAAAACTTACAACTCCCAAATTTTACATGGAAACTTCTTTAATTTTATAACTAATCTCTATAGAGATTTCTTTAATAATTTCTCATATTCCTCATGTTTTTCTCCATTCTAGGTTTTTTTTTAAAGGCTGCTACATTAATCTAGACAACTTTTTATATATTAATTATAACATTCTAGATAGTCTTTATGGCTTCTATATTAAATTTTACAGAAGTAGGTACCACAATAATCAAGATACTTCTCTGTAAATTTTCTGTGAGCTTTATACATATTAAATTATATCCACATTAATCTAGATATTCTTTAGCCTTGTGGCTTCAAGATTAAATTTAAAAGTCCCTTCAATAATCCAGACATGAATTTTGATGGCTTTCATAGAATCTCCTCAAGGAAAATGATCCAAAAATCAAGTTTGTATTTGTTTAAGAAATAAGAACATTCTGAAAATACTGCTACTTACTGAAATACTAGACAATTATGAACAAATTACTCAAATGTGTTAAAAATATTCAAGTATATTCTACAAAATATTTACTGCATTATAGTCTTAGACTATTATAGTTTCCATCAGTATCTACAAAAATTTAATTTAAGTAGTGTGTTTCTATAAACTTATAACAAGAATGCAACTCAAAAATATCCGTATGTTTATAAAAATAGAAATGCGAAATTCGAGCCAAAACATTTCTAATTGCCCTGAGGTACCGATTTTCAACATTGAAAAATTTTCACCAGGAACTTATTTCAGTCAAAAGACTCATTTGTCGGCCAGCTGATTTCGGTTGAATAATTAATAAAAATCCTCAAAATACTTACATTATTCATGGTTAGCCACTTATGGGAAAAACAACCCTTAAAAGTTACACTCAAAATAATCACTAACGCATCGCCAAAAACCACAAGAAACGCGAACTAATCGGAAAAGATGTGTCTGAGAGGAGTGTTCTAATATTAGTTGCACCATTTGACATTTTGCCAAAAAATTTTGAGTATTAATAAAAAGCCGGGGCCCGGTTCTCGGCGGCGCTCTTTAAACCGATGAAATTTGGATGATAATATTTATCGAGGTTTTTTAATTGATGGTATGATGATTGAGGACTTTTTATTTTTCATTTTATGAGACAATTTTGTTCATAAAGTACAATTTTTCAACGTATACTTATCCATATTTACAACACTTGTAGTGTAATTTAGCAGATTATTAGCTCCTCAAAATTTTGACTTAGTGTGTCATAAGTTTAGGAAGCTTCATTCTGATGTTTGAAAAAGCTAGATATTATCTTATAGCATTACTCAATAACTCTTTCAACAACAATTTTGCAATTAGATAAAAAAAAAACATTAAAAAAACTAATAATAAATAATATAAGTACAAATAAATAAACGATATTACAATTGAGTGCACTAATTTTAAGCAAATCTTACAGTAAATCGCACTATAAAATAAGCAACTACAAGTATAACGGCCACTGTACCAAATACAGTAAAGTATTCGGTTATGGAGACTTCTTGGATCTTTTGCCGACAATGTTTGCTCAAACCATTCTAGAAGAAAAATATAAAAATAATTAATAATATTTAAAGAAGAAACTCTAACTTACCCAGCCTCCATTGCAGTGAACCCAATTCGCCATTCTGTCCTCCAATAGTTCGGACATGTCCTCTAAAATGACGTGTAGTTGTTCGCTTTGTCCTTGTCTGACGCTGTCCAGCGCCAATCCGGCTGCTATGCAATAGATTGAGACAACCTAAGAAAATTACGTAGCTAAAAACTATAAACTTAGTCCAATATCGGACGATATCTCCTTACAGGGTGATGCAAGAAAAAAAAAATACAAACTTGTTTGATACTCTAAAGCCTGCATTACATCTGTGTATTTTTTCGAGTATTTCTACATGTATTTATGTACGTATAAATTCATAATTTTTTTTTACGTGAGCAGCTGTCAAATGTGTCAAATACACGGCTAATATTTTCGCTTTACATTCATGTATTTCTTCAAAAAAATACACAGATGTAATACGGGCTTAAGGTGCATTAGTCAGAAATATTTTTGAATATACAGAGTGCTCCATAAATGAGGTATGCGACAGAACTTTAATATTTTAAATGGACCACTTTATATAACTTCCTAGAAATCCTACATGCTTTTTGTGAGATTTAGGAGATGTGTCAACAAAAACATATTTTATTCGAGATCCTACAAGCCAAATCTTTTGTAGGTTGTTAGTGCACACCCTGTAGAGTGTCATCAGATTTTCAAAGGGCCATAAAATAAATCTTAATAATATGCAGTAACAACCAGGCAAAAGATGTTAGTGATGAACTTATGTTACAAAGAAAATATCCTGGTTTCATCATCAAATTACCATTTGGCATGAGGGAATTTCAATTCAAAAACTCTTTGTGTCGATGATTTCAGGAATCTGCAAATCTAGGGATGAAAGTCGAACCCCAGATATAAGAAACTCTATTGAGAACAAACTATTCATTAAGATTTTGAAGTCTCCTTCAGTGATTCTTGAGGTTTAGCTTTTCTCAATTCAAGATCCGGCTTTATGTCAAGAGCAAGCTTAAGACAAAGATATTTCAAAGTTTTTTTCATAGAGTTTTTTTCACTTCGTCCAATAATTCCGCGTGTGAAGTTTTATCATTTTTTAATTCAAGATCAGGTTTGACAACAACAAGCTCAGAAAATTCAAAGAGAAGATATAATTAATTAAAGTCTCCTTCACTTCTTTTCTGGATTTCAAGTGAATTCTTTTTCTTTTACTTCAAGATCAGGTTCGATGTCAATAAGAACAGGCTCGGGAGATTTAGAGAGAACAGATTTTAGAATATCCTAGTCATTTTTCAATTCTAGATCTGGATTTGGTATTAATGAGTAATAACAGACTCAAGAATTTAGGAAGAGGGGATTTCAAAAACACGTTTACTTCTTTCATTGATTCCACGTACGATTTTGTTTCCTTTGCTTCAAGATAGAGTTTGATGTCAAATAATAGGCTCGAGACATTCAAAGAGGAGATTTTGGAATGTCCTCAACTTCTTTTGATGATTCCACGTAAGGTTTTTCATCTCTTGCTTTTAAATCAAGCTTGATATTAAGAACAGGCTCAGGACATTTAAACCCGAATTTATAGTTGTTTCTTGAGGTTTACTCAAACCTGAAAAAAGCCTTGAACGTTTAGAATTGACATGACTAACTTGCTAATTAGTAGCAAGTGTCCATTCTAAACTCACGACCTCCAAGGAACGAATATAAATTCGGCCCCTTGGAGAGAGGAGATTTTAAAATATTTTATTTTCTACTTAACTATTATAGATCCATAATACCTAGGAAACGAAATACGTTAACATATCTATAACAACCTGAGGGCATCATGGCATTATGATCCATAACGCCCGCTTTTTGCGGGCGTTATGATCTATAACGACCGCTTTTTGCGGGCGTTATGATCTATAACGACCGCCTGAGGTGTTTTTGTTGTTGTTGTTTTATTAATTTGCACTTTACCCTAGGCAGCCACTAAATGTCCGGGTCACAGGTACAGGTACATGTCAAAATACAAAACGATATTCTGTCACACAAGCTTAACTGATTTTGTTTGATACTAAATTAATGAAAGAACATCGTGTTGAGTAGAAAATAAAGCATTGTATGCACCACGGGGATTATTAGATTATACTGCCCTTCAGGCGAAATATATCCCACGGGCCAGAGGCCCTCGGGCTGGTTTTGCCTTCGGGCATTATAATCTACATAATCCCCTTGGTACATAAATAGTTATTATGTCCTTTACTTCAAGATAAAGCTTGATGAAGAACAGATTCCGGACATTCAGAGAGAGGATATTTCAGGGCCACAACTAGAACCCTCGGCGCCCAAGGTTAATCCAAATTTTGGCGCCTACTACTAATTCTTTACCACTGCTCAAAGATATATAGGATGATCATTATTTTATCATCTCTAATTTTTAACGTAGAAAATCTTTCACGAGAATCGGTAATAAAAAACAATTTTACCCACTGTAATTTTACTCAACAAAAATAAGCCTCTGTATAAAGATACAGAGTGATCAATATTTTATTATTCGCGACTCTTTTAGGAAATCTTTCACGAAAGCTGGTAATCGAAAACAATTTTACCACTGTGTAGAGATACGGGGTGATCAATATTTTACTATTCCTGGCTCTTAATGTAGAAAGTCTTCCACGAGAGCCGGTAATAGAAAACAAGTTCATCTTCTGTAATTTGACTCAACAAAAATAGGCCACTGTATAAGAGATACGGAATGATTGTTCAGGGACTAGTAGTCAAAGAGCCCAGAGCCGCCAGACACAACTTATTTTCTAAAGGACAGAATATGTGGGATTGTGTAGCACTTATATGTACTATGAACGTATGGATACCCGCTAAGTTGGGTAGACGGCCAATTTACCAACACCAGGTGCGAAAGCTGAAGAAAGCTTTAACTTTTGTTCTAACGCTTGATTTTTATATATGGTATTAGGAAGACCATTTCATAACTACGTGTGCTCAGCCAGACCAATCGCACCGGCCAAACATCCTCCCAGACGCAAAATAATTTTTCCGGAAGTGCGAGCGCGAGGGTACTATGCATGCGTTTGAGAGTGAGCGAGATATCAATGTCAACTGATTTCCCCCTCTTAAACTCACAGTCTACTCCAGGCTAGAGTAGAAATGATGGGATTCGGTTTTTCCCATAATAGGAAAAACCGTTATTTACAAATAACAGTCAATTGGCCGTCTACCCAACTTAGCGAATATGCATACGTTCATAGTACCTATAAGTGCTACTCAATCCCACATATTCTGTCCTTTAGAAAATAAGTTGTGTCTGGCGGCTCTGGGCTCTTGGACTATAGGTATTTAACTATTATTTTCAAACGTCATATAACAGGTATTTTTGTGATCATTTTGACTAGGTACAAGAGTCACTTCAATGGGTACATTCAGGCGGTGCCAGCGGCTAAGCTCAGCCACTTAGCAGGGACTTTACTCTCGAAACCGAGAAACAGCATTCTCATGAGAATGATTGCTTTTTCATTGTCATATGAATAAAGACGACGAAAACAAAACTTTCGTTTTCATGAGAACATACTGCTCCCCTGTTTCGAGAATAAACTGCCTGCTGAGTGGCTGAACTTAGCCGCTGGCACCGCCTGAATTGACTTTCAGCTACTCCGGCGGAGTAGCACTGTCGAAAAAATCAAATACTTTAAGTTGTGCCTTAATAATTGTTTCCATGCAGGCCATAAAGTGGAAAAGTGTAGGTCCACTAAATTCAGGCATTGTAAGCAGAATCAATTACATCCCACTGATTTGACTTCAACTCCAGCTCCGAGAGCGAGTTCAAGAGATTCAGATGCAGGTAAGATTTCAATGCATAATAGAGTTAACCAAGGTCAATGGTATTGCTCGCCACTGCTATATTCCAAGTATCCAATCCCATAGGTGGATTTCAAAGGTGTAGGGCACTCCTCGATAGCGCTTCAATGTCCAATTTTATTTCTTCAGAATGTCCCAGTCAGTTGAGTATTTTACTAAATCAAGATTCTTCAATTGTAGGAATAGGCCAAAACCAGTCTCCCATCAAACAATCGTGTGAAATTGGAATTAAATCATGTCATTCAAACTTTCAAACAATTATTAACTGCCTGGTTCTTCCACAAATGACAAGTGAGTTGCCCAGTTCATATTTTAATCCTATGTCATCGAATATTCCAATTCTTTGCACCATCGCAGATCCAAGATTCAATGAGCCTGGTCCCATTGACGTTCTCATTGTTGCATAGATATTTTGAAACCTGGTAGGCGGTGAACGGGCCCTGGAAAGCGTGTGATTTAAAATAGTAAGCTGGGTTGGTTTATTTCGGGTTTGCTCTGAACCTCAGATCCAAAGTATTTCATTTGTTATTATTTTTTCCAGGACGACAGATATTCAAACCCAATTAAGTAACTTCTAGGAGTTTAAAGAGGTTTCATCTAAGCTAATTCTATCTGAGGAGGAGATACAAGCCGAGAAGTACTTCTCTGAAACTGTTGAGCGTAATTCAGTAGGTTGTTTCATAGTTTCAATCTCATTAATACAATCTCCAGAGGTACTGGGTAAATCATACAATCAAGCAGTCAGGCAGTTTCTATCATTGAAGCGAAAGCTAGCTAGAATTTCTAAATTGAAAGAAATGTATGTAGAATTTATGCAGGAGTACCAAGACCTTCAATACATGCCACCTTTTTCTTCTGTCCCTAATCAAAAAAATGTACTATTCTTCACATCACGGCATCTTACGCGAGGATAGTACAACAACAAAGCTAAAAGTGTTATTCAATAGTTCAGCCATTTCCAGTTCCGGGCTCTCATACAATTCGCTTCAAATGATTGGTCCGGTGGAAAAGGAATTCCGTTCTTTACAGTTGATTCCTTGGCGTGCGGACACAAAGGATGAAATTAAAACATTCTCTCTTAACACAGTATTGTACGGAACTGCAAGTGCACCATTTCTAGCAACTCGCTGCTAAAAAAATTTGCCATTGAAAATGAGACTTCAAATCCTCCCGCTGCTTAGGTTATTTGCAAGGGATTTTTATGTCGATGATATTTTTTCAGGAGCTGATTCAGTCGAAGTCGCAGTACAGGAACGTTTCGAACATTTTAAAAACAGGGTGTTTTGAGTTGAGGAAATGGAAGGCTAATAATAAGGAATTTTTGAATCAGACCAGGCTCGTCTAAATCAGATCAAGAATTTTTTTTTTGGGTCCTCAGAAACAAGTGAAATTTTAGGGATGTAGTGGTCAAATGCAACAGATGAATTTTCTTTTCGCATTACTCTATCACCCCCTATGAAACAAATCACAAAACGACGGATTCTGTCTGAGGTTGCTAAAATTTATGATTCCCTTGGTTTGATTAGTCCAGTATAGTAATATAAGCAAAAGTCATTCTTCAACAAAGCAGTTTCAGGAGATTTAGCACAATTTTGGTCTCAACTGTAAAAAAATTTACATAAACTCAATTGTTTAAGCATATCACGAAAAATTGTTTGTGCAAGTCCACAGTCAATCCAGCTTCATGATGGTTTTTCAGATGCGTCGAATAGTGCGTATGGAGCCTGATGCATATTCATCAGATTAGTTGATTCGAATAATGCTGTCCATGTGCATCTTCTCGCGTCAAAAACACGGGTTGCACCGTTCAAAGCCATAAGCATCCCTTATTTGGAATTATGTGGCGCATTGCTCCTATCTCAATTGTACGATAAAGCAAAATCGTGTCTTATTTTAAACATTGACATGCCATTCTTCTGGTGTGATTCCACTGTGGTACTAGCCTGGTTGCGCTGTCCTCCAGCTAATTTACAAGTTTTCGTGGGTAATCGTGTTTCCACTATCCAAAGCTTAACACCAATAAAAAGCTGAAGACACCTGCCAACTGAATTCAATCTAGCAGATACTCTGTCGAGAGGCATGTCTCCAAGATACTTCTTCTATGTGGTTCTATGGACCAGCCTGGCTCAAAATGTCCTTTGACGAATGGCCTGCTGATATTTCCGAAAAAAAAAAACTCTCGCCGATTGAGGAACTCCCAGAAATTCGTAAAACTGTTTGTTGAAACAAAACCAAACGTTTTTCCCTTTGTTAACTTCTTTTTATTTTCACGAATTAACAGAGCAGCTGCATATATGCTCAGATTTGTGCATAACTGCAAATACAATGGGAAAAACCTGAAACAAAAAAGCGGATCATTGACTGTTCTCAAACTGCGAAATGCTTGTGAGCTTTTATTGAAGTTTGTTTAAACTGAGTCTTTTCCTGTTGAACAACGTGATCTCAAAAAAAACAGGTTCTGTATCAAACAAAAATAGGCTAATCAGCTCAACACCCTTCATGGATGACAAGGACGTTAAAAGTAGGTGGTAGGTTGCACTCTCCTTGTATTCATTTACTACGAAACATCCTGCCATACTAGCTCAAAAACACCATTTTACAACCTTCATATTTAGATATGAGTATAAAAATTTGCTCCATGGTTGGCCTCAATTACTTCTGTCTCACATTCGACAAAACTATTGGCCAATTTCTGGCACAGACGTACCTAACCAAAAAAACTGTGTAAAAATGTGTAATTTGTACCCGTTTCAATTCTAAGGTTTGCAATCCTCTCATGGGAAATTTGCCTTGCCAAGAGTCAGAACCTCCCCCAGTTTTCCCTTGTCCAACGTTGGAGTTGACTACGCAAGTCCATTCTCAATTAAGGATCGAAAAGTGCAAGATCTCTAAATGTTACATAGGTAGCTCTTTTCATTTGTCTCGTAACAAAGGCTGTACACCTTGAGGTTGTCTCAGACCTGAGAGTACAGCATCCTCTAAAAACATTCAAACGATTTATTGCGCGACGGGCAAAATCGTTCAAAGTTTGCAATGATAATGGCACCAACTTTGTGAGAGTCCACAATCAGTTGCTAGAGTTAGGTACTTTCCTGAAGGAAAATTATAGTGCCTTGCAGGAAAAATGTGGTGCTAATATAAACATATAGACTGGCACTTCATTCCAGCCTATCCACCCGATCATGGTGGCTTATGGGAGGCTGACCTGAAGTCAACGAAATTTCATTTAAAGCGGGTTTTATCCAACGTTAAATTTACTTCTGAGAATTTTTTTACAGTAGTGGATGAAACTGAAGCGGTCCCGAACTCGCGTCCTTCAACTCCGCTATATAGAATGTAGAAGATCTTTCACGAGAGTCGGTAATAGAAAACAGTTTTATCCACTGTAATTTGACTCAACAAAAATACGCCACTGTATAAAAATACAGAGTGATCAATATTTTATTATTCCTGGCTCTTGTAGGAAATCTTTCACGAAAGCTGGTAGGTAGTCGAAAACAATTCCACCACTGTGTAAACATTTAGAGATACGGAGTGACCAATATTTTATTATCTCTGGCTCTTAATGTAAAAAATCTTTCACGAGAGCCGGTAGGTAATAGAAAACAATTTTACCCACTGTAATTTGACTCCACAAAAATAAGCCACTGTATAAAGATACAGAGTAATCAATATTTTATTATTCCCAGCTCTTGTAGAAAATCTTTCACGAAAACTGGTAATCGAAAACAATTTCACCACTGTGTAGAGATACGGCGTGATCAAGATTCTATTATTCCTGGCTCTTTATGTAGAAAATCTTCTACGAGAGCCGGTAATAGAAAACAATTTCAGTCACTGAAATTTGACTCAACAAAAATAAGCCATTGTATAAATGATACACAGTAATCATTGTTTTATTATTCTCGGGTCTTGTAGGAAATCTTTCACAGAAGCTTGTAACAGAAAACAATTCTACTTACTGTAATTTGACTCATTTTAGGTTGTATATTAATTTTATTGGGCGGCGAGAAGGCGCCTCGGTACTTTTGGCACCCTAGACTCGCGCCTAGTTCGCCACCCACTAGTTGCGACTCTGGGAAATTTCAAAGTCTCCTTCACCTTTTATGATGATTCCACGTACGGTCCTTCGCTTCTAGATCAGTCTTGATATCAAGAACAGACTCCGAACATTCAGGAGAGAGGCAGTTTTGTAGTATTTTACACTTCTTTTGAAGACGCCAGAGGTTCATCTTCTTTCAACTTAGATTAGGTTTGATAGCGACGACGAAGCTGAGGACTTTTAGGAAGAGCAAACTTTGTCTTCTTCCCTTATTTCAATGATTCCGCATGATGGCGCAGGCTCGAGAGAAATAGGAACAATGAAACAATGGAATGGAAATATTAACTACGTAAAAACCATGCACTGACACAAAACGAAGAAAGGAGCAACATGTTAAATATTTGGAAGGGAATCACTCTGAAGAAGGGAACATAATGGGACTCCGAGTGCAAGCTCTACAGTTCCTAATTCTCAACAAAAAGTGTGTAGGATTTTTAGGACGACCATTAGGATAATAAACATAGGGTGTTCCATTTGGAATAGCAAAGTTCTGTCGCATACCCTACTTAAGGAGCGCCCTCTATATCCAAAAATATTTTTGACTAATTCACCTAAAGAGTATCAAACCACGTTATAATAAAAATATTATAAACAATTCGAATGAGTGATCTTCATTACTCACCTTTCCCCAAGTCGGTTCAGACCTCAATATGTGATGTCCCAGAGCCAAAAGCACCCCGACATGACCTTCCGCTGGCGGAGGCCCAGTATGCCTGGATATATTCGTGTACAACTTTGGATACATCCTTTCCAGCTCTTGACAGGCACACGACAAACCTGGAAAAACTTCTCTGACAGTGTTGCTACAGCTCACCAAACTCCCCATTGCACTTCTAACTCTTGTCAGACCCAGTTTCTTGTTAAATAGTCCAGCTTTTTTCAGTCTGGTTCTTATGTAGAGGGTGCACAAAGCTCGGCCTACTGCTACAACTTCTTCTGGAGGATTTACTAAAAAAAAATCATAAATTTTAAAAAGGAGTAATAAAACTTAATTACCATTTAATATTGAAGCAGCTCTCCAACCAATTGTAGTCGATAGTTTTCTGGTTACAGCGTCTCCTACGTTGCTGAATCTTCTTCTAAAAGCTGCCTGAGGATCGTTGAGGCCTTAAAAAACATCAATCAATTTTAAAATAATTATATTGTTTTGAGGCTCACTTGATAAATGTTGAGGCAGTACCACAGGAATACTCAGTTTTCTTCTCGTACGTATCGGCGTCAAAGGTTTCCTGTGTATTTCCACAGCTCCGGTACTCGGGAAGTCCATTTTTTTATGAAGTAAATTTTTCTAAAAACAGATTATAATTGAGTATTTTTTTGCGAGTTCAAAGTAGTTTCTAGGATTGTTTAAAAGCTTTTTTTAGGCGCGTTAATTGCCTAATAATTACTGACAAGTTTAGCTATTGGAATATAAACATTGGTTTCGGATGTGTAATTTGTATTTTTCCGTCAAGTTTTTATGCCTGCTTGATTTATGTTCTAGGAGAAATGTTGACTTTTCTTGATTAAATGTAGAGCAACATTGGAAAACCACTACCAAAATTTGAATTCATCAAGTGGAATAAATAAAATGCATTCACAATATGTATATTTATTATTTATATAAATAAATCAACGTCTATATTTTCTAATTAACAATAAAACTATAAAGAAAATGCTTAGAATTAACCCAACAATAACCACTAATAAATAATTCTTAGAATGATGATAATCTTGGGACAATTTTTCCTTTCTTCTCAATGGCTCCACCCGAAAAACTAAACGAGATTCCCAATTTTTAACATCAGTCCCATTGGAAATTTCCCGTTTCGATCTTCTTTGTCCATCATCGGCACAAGAATTAGTCTAGAAAAAACCATTGTTGTACAAAATAAATAATATCCTCTGACAATTCTTACTTGGATACAATCTTGTGGATGTAAACATCCTTGGGTTCGTACCGAAACCACCATTTCGTCGCCCTGTGGAGATTCTTGAAATAGGAAAGCCCTGAAATGCATTTCGGTGCTCAAAGGGCTCGTTTTGTGAGGTTGTTTTGGACAAATGTTTTTCATAGCCGGATTGAGGCAGCCTTGTTGGTCGACCAAAAGGGCGGATTTTTTGGAAATAAGGCCCGATATAAGTATAGGGCCTACCAGACTGTTTTTCCAACCTGAAATTGATGATTTTTGAAACATTTAATAATGAGCTGTTCATGAATTAACTGAGTGAATTTCATATCAATTTCAAATTTGTTTAGTATTATGAAAGAACTCTTATTAACAAATCCTGAAAGTTTCAAATTGCTGGGATGGCTCAAAGTATTTTTCAGGAACCCTCAAAGGCGAGTCTACAGAATTTTATGATTTTTTTCAGGTACCTGCCTACCTAAAGATTTTGAAAAAAATTGGACACAATATTGATTGATTGATAAAAGCTATCCTGAAAATCCTGAAAACAATATCTGACAGAGTAAGTAGTATATGTCGTAATCAATATAAATAAAAATATAACGCTAAAATATATACAAGCTTATGTTCCAACTTCCTCACATGAAGATGACGAGGTGGAAACGGTATACGAAGACATAGCGAGAGCAATTAGAGAGAACCCAACGACGCACAGTATTCTAGGAGAGGACTTTAACGCAAAAATAGGCAGAGGAGCAAAATCAACGGAAAAACACATAGGACGTAGTTCGGACTCGGCACCAGAAATGAAAGAGGAAGAATGTTAACAAACTTCCTAGAAAGAGAAAGACTCTATCTAATGAACACTTTCTTCCAAAAGAAAGAGAAACGTGAATCGACATGGAATAGCCCAGATGGACAAACCAAAAATGAGATTGACTCTCCCGCTATAAACACATAATCCAAGACGTAGATGTAGTCAATCAATTCAACACCAGCAGTGATCACAGGATAGTTAGATGCAAACTGCTCATAAACACAAAAATGGAAAGAAAAAAAGATGAAACAAACGACCAAGAGAGGAAGTAGAGAAAAGATAGCAGAAAGAAGAGAAACATACAACCAAAAGCTGAAAGAAAACTTTTCCAACAATCCAGGAAAAATAGAAGAGTCATTAGATGATAACAATAGGAGAATAACAAAAATTATAACAGAAACAGCTGAACGGATAATGGGCCCCCTAGAAAAAACGCTGGACAAACTGTCGATAGAAACTAAACAGCTGCTAGAGAAAAGGAGAAAACTGATAACCGAGGGTAAAAGAGACACTAGTAAATACACAGAAACCAACAAAACAGCAAGAAAAAGGGCGAAACAGGATATACTAAAACTTCAAACGAAACAAGTGCAATCCCTATTGGAACAGAACAAAGGACCAAATATATTTAAAAAACATAACACACCTAAGAAAGAGATAACAAAAATAAAAGATGCGAAAAACAACAGACAACAGATATCAAAAGCGAAATCTTTCTATAGAGATCTGTACAAATCTAAAATAGCAAACACAAGGACAAGAGAAAACAAAATACGAATAGTAAATTCAAACTCATCAGAAGAAATGCCCGACATAAATATGGAAGAACTGGAGAAAGGGTTATCCTGATGAAAAATAATAAAGCGACAGGAGAAGACAACATTCTGCCTGAAATACTCAAGGAAAGCGATACTAAGACGAGACAAGAACGAGTGAAACTATTCAATAAGTGCCTAACACAGGATCATATAGGTACCCAAAGATTGGGAGAATGCTGTAGTTGTTCTGATCTACAAGAAAGGTGACCCGACTGATCTCGAAAACTACCGGCCGATAAGCTTACTATCACAGATATATAAATAATCACCAATAGATTAGAGCAAAAACTCGAAGTTTACCAACCAAAGGAACAGGCTGGGTTCCGAAGCCATTTTAGCACGACAGAACATCTACACACAGTAAGGTAGATGATCGAAAAAGCTACAGAATATAATATAAATAATAAAATCCTTGAGAAATGCCAGAGTGGATCAACGTTACATAAACCTCATTGAAAATATCTATAGGACTTCGACAATGTCGATAAGACTTCATGAATCATCTAACAGAATAAACGCCAAAAGAGGAGTTCGGCAAGGGGACGTTATGTCTCTAATGGCTGTTTCCACCAACTATTTTAGGGAAGCCCTAACGATAAGTATTCCCTAAACTGACATTTCTCCATGGAAAACTGTCAGTTTAGGGAATACTTATCCTTAAGGCTTCCCTAAAATAGTTGGTGGAAACGGCCATAAAACTATTCACTTTAGTGCTCGAGGATATTTTTAAAAAGTTACAATGGGAAAACAAAGGATTGAACATACATGGTGAACGCTTGCACAATCTAAGATTTGCCGACGATATTGTACTATTTGCAAAAGACAAACAGGAATTGATAGATATGTTGGAAGAACTACAGGATGAGACTGCAAAAGTAGGATTACACAAAGACCCAGTTCATTACAAATACACCAGATGCAGACGAAACAATACCGATCCATGACAGCACAATAAAAAAGACAGAAACATACATATACCTTGGCCAAGCTATAACACCGGGCAAACAAAATCAAGAAATGGAAATTGATAGGAGAATTAGACTGGGATGGGAAGCTTACGGCTAATTAAAGTACATCTTCAGCAAGAATATTCCAATGAAATTGAAATTAAAAGTGTATACTGCCTGTTGTCACGTATGGTTGCAAGACCTGGGTGATAACCAGAAAAATTAAACACATATTGCAAGTACATCAGAGAGCCATTGAAAGACGAATTTTAGGAGTTTCCCTGATAGACCACAAAACAAATACAGGGATAAGGGAAAGAACCAAAGTCTCCGACATAATAAAAAGAATTGGTTCTCTAAAATGGCAATGGGCAGGACACGTGGCCAGACATACAGAAAACTGAAGCGGGTATATCACTAGATGGAGACCTTGAGAAGAGAGGAGAAGTGTTGGAAGACCCCAACAAAGATGATACGACGAGATAAAGAAGGTTGCAGGCTTAAATTGGTATCGAGTTGCGCAGAACCGAAAACAATTTGAAAAAGGCCTATATCCTTAGGATAGAAAACAGCTAAAGATAGAAGATTAGCTATTATTTGTTATTAAAATTAAAATCGCGTATGTAGCCCTTCTCAAGAAAAGGAAATAAAAATATCTTATTCTTTGTGTAACAGTTGAATATTTTTGTGTTTATTTATTGGTGATTGGTAAACGATTTTGGATTTTTGGCCGATATAGGTATTTTGTAAGTGAAGAGAGTTTTATTAATTTGAAGATACTGCGAAATATAAGAAACCATGATGAAGCGGCTTGTTCTGCAGTGTGCTACATTTGTTTTAATAAAGCAATAAAACATTTTAAAATTAATAGTAAAACTCAAACTTTGCTCAAGCTAATCTCTCCAGATTTTGATCCAAACAATACCTGTGCACCATATAATATGGTGTCTTATACTGAAGTTACACACACACAAACAAACTGGTGAAAATTTTTGATTACGACAAAGGTAAATATTAGATTAGGACGAGACACAAAATGTAATGGCCAAATATGTGAAGCTGCCTCACTTCAGTTTTGTCCTCCGAATATTAGAACATACAAAGATTTTTATTTAAATAGTAGTCTATATGTCTCACAGTAAAGAGAATAGTTAAAGAACTGGAGTAAAACACACAGTCAATCTTTACTCTTTATTTTATAAAATATAATCAGTTGGAAGGGGGGTTGTCAAAGTTTAACTCACCAAAGGTGAAGATCTAGACTGTGTGTTTTACTCTAGTTCTTTACACAAAGAATTGCCGTACTCATCCTCTAATTCTAATATACAAAAAAATCCAGTCGGCAGACCAGTCAGTGATGTTAAAGCTTCGACTATATCTTTAGAATTGTGTAGTTTTTGCCATACACAGCTGCTTAAAGGAAAAAGGCACAAATGTAGTAGAAAAGTTAAAATAGAAAACTCATCAGTTGATCTGATTGTGAGCGACATTAAACAACAAGTTGCTAGCAAAATCTTATGAGATCAAAAAAAAAATTGTGAAGGAGATTCTTCATTCAATTTAGATAAAGGCACAGTAGGCGTTAACATGAAAGTGGAAATACTCACAAACAGTAAAGCATCTACATCCAAATGCGTAAATATCGACTCACTTGATAGAATTAGAGAAGATCGCAATTAATCTGTTAATGCAATTGCCGAGATCTAGTGATAATGCAATTGCCGAGATCTAGTGATGCCGCAAGAATCGAGACTGGTCTCGTCTCGTCTCGACTTTTCGAGACGAGACCAGACTCGGCGAGAGTTTCGTGTAGTCTC